CAAGCCCTTGGGTAGCAGCTCCCTTTCCGCGGAACGGGTCCGGTAAGGTGAAAGCTCTCGGTCGGGTGATCGCTTCGCCGTACGCGTTTTTCCCTTCCAGCTGTAACTTTTGTTATCGTACTTTCCTGTAGGTGGATTGGAATTCTTGTGCTTTACACAGTTCACAAAGGGCAGTTTAACTGTCCTGGGGGAGGATTACTGCACAGCTACTTGCTCGTCCTCCTCATTCTTCTAGCTTCTATCATATGTGCATTATCTGCTCTTGTATACATCAGTATGCAAGGTAAATAGTTAATATTTTATGTTTATTTACTAGGGTTGTATGTGTTCTTAACCTGAAATTGACATTAAAATATAAATGAAAAGAAAATTTAGTGCTTTAATAGTGAAGCTTGAGAAACTGTTTGTCAACATTAGTATATTTGCTTTAATAGTATTAGCTTTGTGAGGCAGTAATCTAAAATAATACATGGACATGATGGGTCAGTGCAGCCAATGGTGACACATCCATTGGCATCAGAGCATCCAGAAAACCTGCTCTGCGTTCTCCACTGGTACGTGACCTCCAGGGGAGCACCACTCCACCCCTCTGACAGGAATTCAGGGGACTGTATCCCTAATCAGTTTGTCATCTGAAGTATCACATTAGCTTTGCTTTGCATTGGCCGATTGGGTCTTGTGAAAGTTCTTTAGCTGCAGTGGGTTTCCTGGGACAAGGGCACACAGAGGAAAGTGCTCCATACAGGTATCACAGGAAAACTATCACAGTAAGTCCTGGTAAACAGAACAGGACTTATAGCTTGAAGGGGATGGCTAAACAGAAGTAAGGACTGCAGTGCAACTTGTAGTCATTTGTGGAAGTGGTTCATTTTGGGTTGAGAAATGCTAGGAAAGTGTTTTTTCCTGGCAGGGCACCTCATCATCCATGTTATTCTAGAAAGATTAATTTGAAATACATGCGTGGTCTCTGGAGTAACAGATGAGACCCCACAATTTCTAATGCATTGATTCTCACAATACACTGTAAAGAAGAGTATTTAAATTATTTAAGTGGAAAGAAGCATAAAGAATGCATTAAGAGAAACCCTGAAGAGCAGAGATGTGAATGATAACTCTGGCCTTCAGTCTAACCACTGGCTTTCCTACAGTTTGCAGAGGAGGGACAGGAAGATTAGCCAGGTTATGCCATTTATGTTTATACCAAAGTTGAGGAGCTAAGACATGTAAATAGCAGGGAGAGAAGACACTTGTTCAGTATAAAAGTATGTCTACAAGGCCGTTGTAACTAAGACACGAAGGGTTCCGAGGCTGGATGTCCAGGCAGATGAAGGGTGGGGTGTGTAAGGGCACGGGCTGTGGGCTGGGGAGCAGTGCTCCCTGTGCTGCTACCCGTGGGAACCCGACGGGAGGGCTCTGCGCGCCGCTCTGCTGCTGGGGCAGGAGGGAAGCTGGTTTCAGGAAGGACAGATCCATCTGGGTGTGTCTGCAGGCATCCGTGCTGCTGCAGAGTGGGCTACAACCCAGCAGCTGCTGTGAGCAACCACCAGGTCAAGGGCTTTTTAAACGGCCTCGTCCCTGGGTGCCAGCCACAGCGTCACAACTGGAGTGTAGTTTCAAAAGTTGGTTTTGTTCTGCCGTGTTCTAAACCTTTACAGAGTGTCCTACCTACGCTTGGAACACGTGCTCCCCACCACCTCATTACCCTGTGGTGAGCAAACTGGTTTAAGGAGCTGAGCTGGCCAAAAATTACTACTTTTTTTTTATTATTTTTTTTTTTTTATTGCGTGAGAGTGATAAAAAGAATAGGTTATTAGTAAGGGAACAAAGAAAATAGTCTAAGAACTATTTGTCCTGGTAATGGTCCTACTTTTCTTCTCCTAAACGAAAATGTGAATTAATTTATTATTTAGTAACTCAATAAGCTGAACTTTATTGTAGCCTAGCAAAGCAGCATCTAAAAATGAAATATCCAACCAACGAAAAGCTTTATAGAATAATAACACAAGCAGGCAGCAGAAGGCATAGGAAACTGAGGGTGAGGCAGTGCTCCAGTGTGCTGCTTGGCTTCTGCTGGGCTGTCTTCAGTTCACTGCAGAACTGCCTCTGACCAGAGAGTGATTTGAGGTCTTAGTCGTGATTCTAAGAACCTGCTTTACGATAAACCCATTGTTGTCTTTCTTTTGTCAGCTTCAGCGATAGCTTTGCATTAGTATGAAAACATAGTTTCAGTTAAGTCTCCTACTTTCTGTAAAGCTCTCCGAAAGTTCCTAAGTCTGTGTAGGATATTATGTACTTAAGATGCATTCATGAACAGTTCTTGCTTTAAATTCTCCTTGCAATTTCAGGAACAATTTCTAATCCAGGCCCAAGAAAATCACTGCCCAAGCTACTTTATGCTCGCCTATTTCTCTATTTGCCTGAATTCATCTGGGCTGTTGTAGGAGCCGTATGGGTGTCAGACAGCAGTGTGCATTGCGAGAAGACTGTGATAAATGTCATCATTGGGACAGTCGTTGCAAGGTAAAGGTGCCTCCCCCCAAATCTAATACTGATAGTGTACTTGAAATGGAAAATACTGCTTATTTGGGGTTTGTAGGTGTTTATTAAAGGATTTTCCAGCACTTGGAAACTTATATGTGTCCTATAAGTTATTGTGGTTTCTCACAGAAGAGTTTTCATTGTTAAAGGAGAAGAACGTTTAAGTCTAGACTGCTAGAATGAGGTGGTGTCCTTCCCTAAACAAGGGAGCTGCTTGCCTTGAGAGGGTACGTGCTAGAGTGAAGGAACGGAAGTGAAGATCAGAAAGAGTGAGAGGGGTAGATGAGAAGGTAAAAAAGTGGATAGATATGAAGAGGGTAGTAACTAGATCACTTAACTGGTAGTGCAGAATGGAACTGTTGCACTTCTTGGTTGCTGTTCCCAAAGCACGGGGCGGTAGCTTTGAGCTTGGTGTGCTGTGTGAAATGAGCTGACAGCCTTGTTCTTGTGCCTAGTAGATTGAAAGCCTGATAACAAAACATGCACCCTTAAGACAGTAACAGATGGTGTTCACATCTGACTTTGTTTTCTGTCTGTCAGGATCTCTAGTTGTATTTTCTTGCATACTTGTCTGAAGTGTCTGGCTTCATGGTCTTTTTATCCCACTTCTGTTTTGCAGTTGGGTTATCATCATCTTTACCGTCATTGGAGTTTTAATCGTCTTTGATCCACTTGGGGGGAAGAAGACGTTCTACCTCAGTGAGGGTGTGAATCGGAACCTGGAAAGCAGTCAGTCAGGGCAGCTGCTGTACAATGTGAAGAGCACTGCCACCAGAGTCTGGGAGAAGAGAATCAGGTTACTGTGTTGTTGTATCGTGCAGGACGATGACCATCGAGTGGCTTTTACGAGTATCGCGGAGCTTTTCCGCGCCTACTTCTCAGTAAGAGCCAAAGCTTTTTTTTTTGTGTTCTCTTTTGACCCTGTACCTTTGTGCAGCCAGAGGTCCCCCCTACTCTGTGCCTTGAAATCAGGTCTTTGGTATGCCAATTTCAAAATTAAAGGTGATTCTCATACAAAGTGTACAACACAGAGTTTCCCCTCCCTTGAACAAAGGTTTGTCTCCCCTCACAAATGTGGAGGGCTGGGAGAAACCAATATTCTTTCTCCTCTAGATGGATGTTTAGTCAGGAGAGCAAGGGTGTTTCTTTTGCTCAGTGTGTGAAGATGGAGGCGTTTTTCCTACTGACGATGAGTAAAGAGTCATGCCCATAGCAAAGAGCCAGACTACTCTGACTGTGAAAAACTGAGCCCTGCAGGGTGTGAAGGCGTGTTGCCCGTTCTGAGCACACACCAGAGCGGGGTGTCCACATGCAGGAAGCTGCTTTCTGGAAGCAGAGTGTCTGCCAAATCGTAGTCTGCATAGTGTCGATATAGCTCAAGCTTATGTCACCTGTTGCTTGGGCAGTCATAGTTCAGTGCTGACTTTGAAGTCTGTTCATGATTTCAAGACAAGTAGTTGTTGCTTATGAAGCGGTACTTGGGCATGCTGACATACACCTACAGACTACTCAGTGGTTTACAGGGTGAGGGGTCTAAGTCATATGGAGAGATGGTTGCTCCACATAGCTGAATAAAAACCATTCAGCCCTCTGCTTTGTAAAATCCTTTTTAGATGTTCTCAGAAGAACATTTTCACATGGTAGAGTAGAACAGTGGTCAGTAATGTCCAGATCATAATTTGCTATGTGCCTGAGCAGGTTCTTTGTCAAGTATACATGATGGAAATTCATGTGGAGAATTGTCATCGGTCTCATTGAAGAGAACATTCAATATGTACAGAAGGGGTGGGAGATGAGATGCTGCTGTGACCTGTTTTTCCAATGCACGTTGTCTCTGAATGAAATGCATGTCTATAGACTGAAAAAGTGGGATGCCAGGTGCCTTCTCCTGCAGGGTGCTCTCGCAGCGGTGAGGCACGGGATGGTTTTGAGTGCTCTTTCATTTCTTTGGACAGGACACTGATCTGGTGCCAAGTGACATAGCAGCTGGTTTGACTCTGCTCCATCAAGAGCAAGATAAAATGGAAAGTTGCCCAAAAGAGCCTGAAGAAGTCCTGTGTCATTCTCCATCGTCTCTTGTGGTAAGATATGGTTGTGGCAGCCTCTGATGCAATTACTCTAGGAGGTGGTGCCAGACCATATTGGAATAAGGTTCTTTGCACAAGGGTGTTTGGATTTTGTTGTTTGGTGGGGTTTTTTAACGAGATTCAACACTACTATAAAAATTCTCAACAATTGAAATTATTAATACATACAGTGAAAACATCTTGATGAGTTTGAAGTCAAAACATTTGTCTGCTTTTGCATCAGCAGAACTTAGATATGAATGGGGAATTAAGTACAGAAAGGACACAGTTAGGACATTTGATCATTGTTGGAGTGCTGGGGAAGAAAGGGAACAGAGGGAAAATGAATCCTTAGTACTGTTCGTGTAGAACTGAAATCCAGTCTTTTAGTATTGTGGTCTGTTCAAATGATGTCTACTGCAAATATCTAGACAAGATAAGAAGCAAAACCACCTTATAGTTTGTTAATAGTTTTTTTGATAGTCTATTTTTTTGATTGTCTGTTGTAAAATGCCTTTGTAAATTATTTTACCTTCTTTTCTTCTGTGTTTCATGGAAGCATATAGTTCTACTTCAACCAATTTCTAACAAATTGCTTTTGAATCCAGCCACTATGATGGGATCGTGCTGTAAAAGTCCTTACCAGAGAGTCCACTACAGATTCTTTAGCCATTCCTTTGACATCCTTAAGTGACATATTTGGAGTGAATGTTGTTTTCAGTATTGAGCCTACCAGGATATAAGTATTGAAAGAAAGTAATTTAACGAGAGCTTTTCAAGATTCTTGAGCTGTGTAGCTCTGTAAATAAACAGAGACTTTTTCCTGGAATACAAGTGGCTTTATTTAGTTCCTTTTAGACCTTGAGGTTTTCCTTTCGGATAGTACATGTTTCATCATGCCTTGTTTGTTACTAGTCTGTGTTCAGGTTTTATCCTTACACACTTTTCTTCCTCTTTCTCCTTCCTCTTCTTTCCCTCTGTCCTTTCAGACAGATGATTTGGATATGGAACTGGAGAATGCTGCTCACTATATGCTGTTTGCTGCAGCTGCTTACGGCTGGCCCTACTACGTCTACACCAGCCCCTTTACTGCACTCTGTAAGCTCAATGGTGACTGGTACGTTTGATCAAGAGCTTTTACCCATATTGCTTCCTTTTATTTAACTAGTGTTAGTGGAAATAAGATAGCTTCAATAGCAGTACTTCTGTTGCATTAAATTATATCACTCTTGGGAGTGCATGAGCTTGACTGGTAGGATTGTCTTTCACATATTTGAACATCAAAATAGAAACAAAATTCCACCATTTTTCTCCTCTCAGGAACAGATTAGCTTTTGTTTCTTAAGGAAAGTTTGATTGCCATTTGGCTAAATGAATTTTGTTTATACCAAAGGAAGAATTGGAATTAAACCAAACATGTTTTAAAGTGAGGCTTTTTAGAGCTGCCTTTGGGACACGTATGTATGTATAGAACATGAAATTATTAAACCTACTGAAAAATAAATGACTTGGAAAACAAAAAAAATCACATAGTACAATGGCTGAAACATGAGATAAGCCTGCTGTACAGAATTTGGTTTGAATCTCCTTTTTGCTTGTTTTTATTTTCAGTCATTGACCTGCAGCCTTAAGGATTCATTTCTTATGGTATTGTTTGCTTTGCTGATAGTCCTGTAGCCATGGTGTATTTGCCAGTCCTTGAACTGAAAATGTAGGACATGCTGCTCAGGCCAAACCAGGTTTGTGGGCAGAGGTAACATCTTGTATCAGACTACTGGTACTTTTGGGAGGAAAATAAAGTAAAAAAAAAAAAAAATAAAGAAGAGCATTTCATTCCTGGCAGAAATATTCTACAAATGTAACTGAGTTTGATTCCTTGAAAGGAAACCTAAAAAATTTTGAACATGAAAGTTTTTCTCTTCTGTTTGTTAGTTGCAGAAGTAGACCAACAGATTCTGATATAACTGGCAGTGGTCGTCATAACTTTCACTTTGGATCCATCCTAAAAATAACAGGACTGCAGTACAGAGACTTCATTCATATCAGTTTTCATAACAAGGTAAACAATCTGGACAGGCATTCAGAAAAAAAAAACCCTTAGTGAGGAATTCAGTGAAAGCAATGGGTGAAGTTTCTACTTTGCCTTCTGCATTTATAACCTGCAAGATGCAAAGCCAGATGAAAACAAGCCCTGAAACATTCATTCCATTCTGATTTTTTTTTTTCCCTTAATCTAAAGCCACAAAACCATGACATAAATCTCAGTATTGCAATAAAGGCACTTAGAATAACTTGATGAGAAAGTAATTCAGCTTCTTTCCATAATACAATAAGGAGAGCTTGCAGAAGGTGAGAACAAGTGCTTACTCTTACAAAAGTTGTTGTCTTTACTGATTACGTTTTTCCCCTCCAGATCTATGAGATTCCATTTTTTGTTGCTCTGGATCACAAAAAAGAAGCTATTGTGGTTGCAGTGAGAGGAACCTTGTCTTTTGAGGTATCATTAGCTTTATAGAAATGGGTGAACTCTTAGTATCTAGAGAAAATTGTTACACTGGCACACATGAAAGCAACTCCCCCACAGGTATGAGTCTGCCAGGCTTTGGCTGCTATCCCTCCTGTCCTTGGGAGGGTGACAGTCCCTGTGCCACTGGAAGGGGGCATGGAGGGTGGGCAGTAATAATTCCCTTGCACTGTGAGTGGAGGTGCATTTGTAATGTTTGTGCTTGCAGCTTGGAAATAGCTGCTGCACCAGAACTGTGATTAGTGTGTGTGTTTGCTTGGGTGGTGGTTTATTGTGGGCTGTGTGTCGTTGCTTACAAACTTGGAAGTCAACTAAGTGATGTCCCTGTGACAATGTTCAGTAGCAGAGTGCAGCCATGTGCCATGGAGGGCACAACCAGAGCCACGGAGCCCTGCAGAGAGGTCTGAAAAAAGCATGTCTTATTTGCAGGACATCCTCACTGATCTGTCAGCAGATTGTGAAGACTTGACACTGGAGGATGTGCTAGAGAATGGCTTTGTGCATAAGGTGTGTGCAGTGTTTAGCTGCTGATGAACTGGCTCAGCATTAAGAAAACTGTAAACACATGGGATCCTTTAGTGAAATAGAAGAGTACTCTCCTTGTGACACACATTCCGTAAATTATTTCAGTGATTTGGTTGTTGCATCAGATACTGCCTCTGGAGCTGCAAGGCAGAATTTGTAATCCCCTTGTCAGACTTTACGTCAGAAACTTCTTAACCATGTGTACAAGATGACTTGGTTGTGATTAGACCAGGAGCACACTAAAAGAGACCAGATTTTTCAAAAAGAAAGTTGTTCTGTGATGTTGTATTTAAAATGTACATTTGTCCCACTTCAGATTGGATATACACGTCTCTTCTGACTTTAAATGCTGTCTTGTAGGGAATAACTCAAGCTGCAAATTACATCTATCGAAAGCTAATAAATGATGGGATTCTAAACCAGGCTTTCACAATTGCTCCAGTAAGTTACTTTCCAAATAATTTGCTTTGCCAGAAGAATTATGTAAAGCTTTTTCTGTGTCTGTCTGTTTCAGTTTTCTCTTCCTTTCTATAGGAATATAAACTTGTGGTAGTTGGTCACAGTTTGGGTGGTGGAACAGCTTCTATATTGGCAATCATGCTCAGGAACTCTTTCAGATGTTATGCTTTTTCTCCTCCAGGAGGACTGTTAAGGTAAGAGACTTCTGGTTCTTTGATTCTGTGTCTAAGATGTAAAAGATCTTCAAGGTAGCTGACAAATATGTTAGATGATAACTGGGCTGTGTTAAGAGTTTGTCTGTACATTCTCCGCTAATTCTAGTTATATCTAGAATCTAATCTAGATTTCTAACTAGATTTCTATATCTATATTCTAGATATATCTAATCTAGAATTGGAGAATGTGTAGACATCTGGAGTTGCAGTCAGGTTCTTGGAGGAATGTTACAGAATGAGATACATCTAGTGAATTCTGTCAGACAGCGTAATTAGTTTAAAGTAAATGGTTTGGGGAATAAAATGCTCACCTGACTAGCCTACCTTGGCCTGTTTGACATCTACACATACCACTACAATCAGCCTTGAAGTTACCCTGGTTACTCTGTCATCTGTAGCAGGTAGATCTGGAAGCCTGCTGAAGAACTGACTGCAAATGGTGTTGCTGTTGCCACACATTTGTATTTTTATTGAATGTTAATGATCATAATAAAACTAAAGTGTGCATATCTCTTCAGCGTATCTAAAGTGCTTCTCTTTTTTTTTTTGTTAAGCAAATCACTGGCAGATTACACTAAGCAGTTCATTGTTTCAGTCATTGTTGGAAAGGATCTTGTGGCAAGGTGAGATGGAAATATTTCTAAATTGTTCCTTCAGGAACATGTTAGATTGCAGAGAAAGGGAGCTTTTCTTTACTTTGTTTTATGTGTGTTTAAACAGGTTAAGTATGCCCAACATGGAGGATTTAAAGAGGAGAATAGTGAGAATTGTGGCAAACTGCAACAGACCCAAGGTAACTAAATGCAGTTGCTGCTTAAAAGTGAGTGGAACTGTTACCTGGATTAAGCCCCACCTTTAAAGAAGAGACAATGGTGTGTGTATTTTTGATCTTGATGAGAGTTACATTTGTGTTTTGGAACAAAAGGTTTTTGTTTTGATTCAGCAACATTTGTGTTAGTCTCATCCTATAAAGCTGTCTTACTGGAAATTAAGATTCAACAAAACCTAGAAGGTACCTGTGTACAACATCCAAGGCCTGAAATTATCCATCAGTGGGCGTACTTAAATTTTACCTTCAGAATTGATTTGGAAAGCAAATATTTCTGTTATGGGGCTAGTTGCTTACCTGCTTTTTTGCTGCTGAGTGAGAAACACGGTTTTGAAAGTGCTGGAACAGTGTGGTGTCAGACAAGGGGATACTGAAGGTAGAGAGGAGTGGCTTCAGGATTCAAACCTGCCATTTCTAAATGTCTAAAGTTAAAACGAGAAGATAGCCCTGTAGTCCCAGGATGAGGAGTCATGTAGAGGCTGTGGGTGGCTTAAATGCAGAATAAGGTAACAGACAGAAGTGACAGGTGCAGTAAAACTTAAATCTGCAGAGCAGAATCCACACAGAGTAGTTCCACTAGTAAAAATTGAGATGTTTTCTCTAGTGTTGCTCATGGCTTGGGTTAGATATTGGTGAAATAGATATTACTGTGGGGAAAATTCAGTGAGGAGATTTTATGAAACAAAAGGTTTGGGAAGCATGGGCATAGTGTCTTCGTTAATCTTTTAATTGTAGTTTCAGGTGACATGTGTGCAAGCACATGACTAGAGCAGGTTACTTGAAGAGATGCCAAACCTCCCTTTGACTGTTTTTCTTTCTGAATTCAGTATCAGATTTTGCTGCATGGGTGTTGGTATGAAGTATTTGGAGGAGATCCAGATAACTTCCCAACCGAGCTGGATGGTAGAAACCAAGATGCCCTCACCCAGCCACTTCTAGCTGAGGAGAGTTTAATGGTTCATCGGTCACCTTCATACAATGCCCTTGACGATGAACCACACTTAAATTCACCACCTCAGTATCCTCGTCTGTATCTTCCTGGAAAGATTATCCATATTGTAGAAGAATCCAGCTCCAAGAGGTAAGGAGAATAATTAATACCACTGTCCTTTTTTCCTGAAATCTACTTCTCACTTAAAAAAGTACATTTCCAGCTCTGTGTCTCATCTGCATCTCTAACACCATTAGCCAGCCTTTCAGTCTTTGCCATCCCAGACAGACTGGAGAGGTCCACTTGCCCCAGTAACCGGTGTGCTCATGCAGCCTCTAGGTTCCTGTCATTTGCTGCTTTTTTTGTGGACACAGGAAGGTGAGACAAAGACAACAGAAAAGCTGCAGCTACTGGAAGTGTGAGGATCGTGTTTTTCTTGGGGAAGTGTTGAGTTTAAGGGGGGGGGTTGTTTGTCTTCTGTTGAAGTGGGGTTTTTTGGACAAAACAACCTGAAACTTCCCTCAAGCTAGAGAGTACTTCATATCCTTTTCATTCTGAAGCAGAAGTAAGAGCATCTGTAACTTGCACAAGACTAGTTTACAGAAGAAAAAAAAAAATCTGTATTGTGTAGAAGAGGAAAGAAAAGGGCTGGAGAAGAAATGCACTTTTTTCCTTCTTTCCAGTAGAGGAGTGTTTTATTTAAGCTTCACATCTTGAATGTTTAACAATTTTCATACTGGTTTTACAAGTGAGAATACTGTAACACCTGTGACCTGGCAGGTTTTCTTGAGGGCTGCTCTTCTACTTCACTTTATTGTGTTTGTTTATTTTCTTTCATTTACTCCGCAGTGGAACAATTAAGCATGTGGGGTTTTTTTCTTAATTGGACTAGCACACAAGAGGCCTCATCATATACTGTTAAAAAAATTCTAAATACATCATATGTGCAGCATTAAATCTAGTGTCCAGTCTCCTACTGATACCACTGTGACTTATCCCTAAATTTGATAAATTTTTGGCGTGGCAGCATTTCCAGCTGTTTGCTGAAGGTCAGGGCTGTAGCTCTTTGGGTCCCCACTTTCCTGCTGTGGGAAGGCTCCAGTTCCTCCCGAGTCAGGTTGTCTGTTCCAGTCTTGCCATCAAGCACCAGTTCTAACCTGTTATATATTTGTGGTGGGGGTTGTTTTTGTTTGTTTTTAGGTTGTGCTCTTCAGATATTAAATATACAGCAAGATGGTCAAATGAAACCGTGTTCAGCAGCATTTTAATAAGTCCCAAGATGATAACTGACCACATGCCAGATGTCGTGCTCAAAGCTCTGAACAGTTTGTCTCAGGAACAGGGATCGTGTATTTCTTGTCACACCCGAGAATGTAACACCAATGTGGTATAGCCAGGGCTCAAAGGTGAGGCGTGGGTGGTTTTTATTGCAGGTTTCAAGTATTCAGGACACATTCCACTTTCGTGCCCAAGTGGATTTCAGTACTTTTCTCTCACTGCATTAAAGCAGGAAGGGTCTTAAATGGCCTTGCCTCTGCAGCAGCCTCGGGTAATGTTATGCTGGTTAAAGCACAGATTCTGCAGTTATGCTGAAGGTTGAGCTTTTACAGACTGGATCAGTACGACACGGTGTAGCTGAGCCACCAGCTGGCTACTTGACCAAAGTGAGTACATGCATGAGGACAGCCTGGCCTAAGCAGGAGAGCAGTGCTCTGGCACACCTTAAAAAACCAACAGACCAGCCACTTCTGCTTCAGTGTGAGTGCACACCATTGTCTCAGGAGTGGCTCCAGCTGGGAGGCCGTTGTCCAGGCCTGGGAGGAGCCCTTGGGGCGAGGCTGCTGGGGGTCAGCAGCTGGGCAGGCTGCCTGTGGCAGGCAGGCTCCATTGCACTACTTTTCTTACTGATTGTGGTAATATCCCGGGGGGAGGGGGGATGAGTGGCAGGGGCAAGGGGAGTGCTGTGGTTAAATGCTGCTTGGATCACTATGTGCAATAGTCTTTGATGTCTTTTGTATTTGTTGATCCACTTGACTACTTTTATTGATTTTTAAACTAATTCTGTAACTACTTAATGAGAAGGAAAAAAAATTTTGGTCATGCCCTGGCATCATGGCTTTGGGCTGGGGTTTAGTGGTCACAGTAGCATTGGGCTGACAGTTGGACTTGATGATCTTACGGGTCTTTTCCAACCTTCAAGATTCTATGTGCATCTTGGTCAGTAGCTCTGACTACTGAGAGCATTGAGCAAATCATGCCAAACATGTATAAGCAGTTGTCCTCATTCTAAAAAGGTGGATTCCTTGTTTCTTGTGTACAACTATTTTTTTTTTAAGCCTCAGCAGCATTTCTTATTAAAAAACAAGTATAGAAAAAAGTACCATCATGTGGTTGAAAATAACTGTGTGGATGTTCTTGCTGTGATAATATGGAAACTAAATAAAGTGCACTCCAGAAATCTGTTGTCCTCTATTCGGTATCCTGGATGTGATAATTGAGAGCAGTTCACGGGGCTAGCTGCTGTGCAGTGAGGCAAGTCAGCACCAACAGCAAAGACCTGGAAGGTGGCTCCTCCTCACGGAGGCGGCAGTGGTGCTGCAGCACCCCCTGCCTCTAGTCCCTGGAGAGGGCAGGGGCCTTACAAGGTACTACACTGCGGCCAGAGGAGCTAGCAAACACACAGCAAGGCTGTAAATTTAAAAGGCTAAAAACTGAGCCATTGAAGCACAAACTACTGCACTAGAGCCATCATTTGACAAATCGTTAAGAGTAAAATACATCAGCAGCTTTGTTTGCATAGAACAGTGACACAGGTTTGGGTTGTGGTTGGTTTTTTTTCTCCTTACTGGCAGCAGCTTGAAAACATTGCCTAAGAGCAGCAGAAGCTTGTAATGACTCCAATGATAATGTAAGGCCCCTGAAGAAATATTAAGTGCTGTATTTAATTCTGGTTCTTAACATAGGGGCACCACGGGAAGAGCCTGTGATCACACACCCCCCCCACTCAACAAGCAGCCCAGAGTGCTGTTTGCTGGCACTGGAAGAACGCTTGTTCATAGCGGGACAGGAAGGAACACTTGCTCAGAAACTCAAACATCATCACACCTGTGATTCAAGGATTTATTAAGTCATACATGCAAAACATACTGCTAATCGCATTAGCAAAAGATCAATGTAAAAACTTCACAATTTTGCAACTTTTATCTTTAGATTTTGATTTAGTGGTTGAAAGGGTGTAGTTCAACATTGTATTCCTGCCAGTTTAGAATGTACAGAACATTAGCACTAATTTACAGAACCTCACAGACCCAAGTTACCATTACTCAATCTATGCTGCACATGTACATGTAGTGACACCAAGAACACCTGTCTGCGTTAGTAACATTACAGTGGTGGGGATATCTGGCAAACAGTGATACTGGAGAAGGTTCAAAATATAAAAATTACTAAAATGTGTAAAGCTGCTTCACATGATTTTTACACCTAGTTAATAGACTAAAAGCTCCTCAGAAAGCATACAACTTACTGGGTCAGAAATAACAGGAAAATAAAGATATGCTTGAACATTCTACTCTACCAAAAAAGAAGCAGCAAATTTCTATCGTCAGAAAGGTTTTAAAATACAAGTTATATTGCTCAGTAAGAAGAGATCCTACAAGAAAAGCATTTACTACACAACAGTTGTGGGAATGAATGGTTCGAAACTGTACCTAACTGAATGCCCTACTTGAAATTCAAAGGAATTTACCCATGAACACCAACCTCTCCTCCACTACTGCACCTCTGGGAAAATGGTCCCTGATTTTAACCTGCACGAGAAGTCAAATCAGTTTCAGCTACCTTGGCAGTGTACTGTAAAGTCATCTGTACAGTGTAAAAATACTGTCTGGCACTAGGCATATGATCCAATATTTCATTTCTCCATCACAATACAATGCTGTCAAAAGGACTAGATATACTTCAGTTAGAATAGTTATTTATTTTCTTTTTAAATCACAGCAGCAAGAACTAGATTGCAACCAAGCCCTTACCAACGATAAAGCATTTTACACTGTGACTCAAGACTGTCAGTCATTGTCAAAGACTTCACTTTGACACACAACACGATGCAATGACTGGGGATTGAGAAAACATTTTGTAATAAAAGAGTGCAGTGTTTTGCTAATTATACGGTACTGTTACTTACTGTGAAAAACTAGAAAGATTTTGCATTTCCTACCAGAAATTAGAGTCATTTTCAAGAATTTTTAAAAAACAGTTTAGTGCTTAGTGTTTGTAGCACAACAATGCAACTTAGTTCAGCAGATAAGTTTGGCAACACTTAATTGAGCAAGAGTAGGATTTTAAAAATAAGGCTTTACATAGGTTTGTCTTTTCAGGAGTTTGCTTTTAGAAGGATGCAAGGTAACTTTCATACTTTAAACAAATGAAACCGTGAAATCGGTGATTGGTTCAAGAATTTATAGAAGAGAACTAATTTATAACAGAAGAACTTGGCATTGAGTGTGAATGCTCCATTGTTCGAGCAAAGCACAGGGTTTGGAGTGGGGGAGGGTGACGTTTACAGCAGCAGACATTTTCTCTTCCTCTTCTTTACAGGAGGGGGGCAGAGAACTGCTCGGATAGCTTCGTCAAACACTGTCTTGAGGCCTCTCTGCGTAAGCGCTGAGCACTCGAGGTATTTCACTGCACCTGTGGAGAGTGGAAAGGCAGTCACAGGGCAGTCTCCCACAATTACAGCTTCTAGCTCCCTCTACAACAAAAGCCAGGCATTTATGTTAATTAAGGCACACCATTTCCCACAAACAAAACCCATACGAAGCAAACAGGAACCCTGCTGCTGTCATACCGATCTCTTTTGCCATGGCAAGGCCCTGTGGGTAGGTGATAGGAGTCAGCTTCTTCTCCTTCAGTTTTTCAATGGTGTCCTTGTCATCCCGGAGATCCAGTTTGGTACCCACTAAAATGATGGGGGTGTTGGGGCAGTGGTGCCGCACCTCAGGATACCACTGAAAAAAAAACAGCACAGGTTGGAAATCTGTGGCACACTTCCACAAAGGCTCTCAAACCTTACAAAGGAAAGGCTTCCAGTCCTTCCTGAAACTTTCAAAAGTTGAAAAGTTAAGGGAAGAACACAAGACCCCATGTTAGGCAATATTAGAGCAGACAACTGCAAAACATTTCTAATGAAGCCAATGGGTATATCCATATAAAAGGGCTGTATTTTTTCCATGCATCAGAAAAACCCTGATCTACACCTCCCCCACCCATGGAGACCACCTGTGATTTGTAAAGTCTCCACCACACTATGCAGCTGAGTTGTTTGAGGACATGAAGGCTGCAACAGTAGTGAGCATGTGCTAGACCAGAATGCTGGCTTATCCAAGAAGTGGTATCAACCTCATTTTTACATGCATTTGTTTGTTTAGTATTTTCCTTTAAAGTGCATTAAAAAGATTCACTGCATCTTGTGTCTGATCTTAGCACTTTGTTGGCTGAAAACTGAAACTGTTACCCTATCAATGCATCAAGGATCAATTCATAGTTTTGAGTGTTTCATGGAAGTCACAGAAGTTCAGGGCACAAGTTAAGCAAATTGATTCCTGCCTTTCAAACTACATTTCACATTGCATGCCAAAAAGAGAAAAAAAAAAGAAAAAGAAAATTGAAGTAATCACTTCATATTTTCCAGGCACTGCTGTAAAGTGAACACTGCACTGAACTGTTAGAAGTAAAGTGCTACCAGATTATACTTACTTTAGCACGGACATTTTCAAAGGAAGCAGGACTCACGAGGGAAAAGCAGATTAAGAAGACATCCTATAAAACAAATTGATAGGAGTTAGCTCATCACAAAATCTCGTCGCCCTCAAGAGGCCAGTACCACCAGCAGCAGGCTGGCGCAAGGCAGGGCCACGGGCAGAGCTGCCGGTGACAGCCGGAGGCGGCTCTCCGGGGGACGCCCCTTTCCCGACAGCACCGGCAGGGGGCCCGCGGGAACAGCGCCCCCCGCTTGCAGCCAGCAGCTGAGACACCGACACCCTAACACTGCAAGCTTTCCTTTCCTAAATGTCATGTCTTCTCCTTCACTGACATTCAGAAAAAAAACCAAACCAATCCCTGAGGTTTGAGGTTGAGACCCTTGAGGACCACAGGAAGCAATGAAGAGTCAGACTAGCTTCTGAAGTGAGGCTGGATGCTCTGTGCAGACCTCGAGGTGATTTTAAGCCTTGAAAGACACGTAACTCATCAGTACAGGATGCTGCAAAGTGTTAACTATTAGTACCGATTTTTAAAATATACTATTAATATGCTACTCTAAACCAGTCTTAAATTGCAAAGTATACAATATGGAATACAAAAAATTATATGATAATTTATACAATTACTACTTCTGTGCCCAAACCAGAATAAACTGTCAATTCTACTAAACACCAGTACAAAAATATTACAGAATTTATCATGAAATTAGGATTAAGAAGGTTATTAAAAAACCACCAAGCCCCTCCTTCCCTTGCTAGATAATGAGAAAGCAGAGAGAAAAGTGGGTGTCTTATACGTCTCACTTTTCAATTACAGGCAAAAGAAAGATTCTACATAAAACCAGGTAAAAACCTTTCAGAGCACATGTTTACATTAACTGTGGTACAGTGTACACTTTCAAAAAACAACGTGCTTCATACATGACACACTGTAGTCTACAAGCATTCAAAACCACCACAAAATTGTCTCTACGCTGACAAAGATTGTAATCTTTTTGTATGACCCAAAACTCAGTAAGCATCTCTCAAACAAGCCAAACTTTCCCCAGCCTACCTCTGCATCCGTACGTATGCCGGTATCAAATGTGTTAAACAATCAGGCGTTTCAGAAGGTTAGTTGATTGTGCTGCATTTCAAGGCATTTTGTTAGGTCAGCATCTGACATCTGCACTGCTAAGCACTTGCAACCCAGTTGCTCATGCATCACCCCAACAAGTTTCCACAGCAGCGTCCCAGAAGAAGAAAGAAACAACATAAAATAATGTGATACTATGGCCACTACTTCTGTTTGCCAATTCTGCAGGTTTGTGGTGAAATTCTGAAGTTCTGCACCTTGCGCAGACTCTCTCCTTTACTAGATCAAAAAAGTGTAACCATGAGGAATTATTTGAAGGTTTCAGGTGTCTTGCACACTACCAATCTTAATTAGGAAGAAAAGCTATTTATTTGTGAGAAAAGGTTTAGTCTTAGCAACTCATTTAAGAGATTTGGTAACAGTTCTCAGAGCTAGCAATTCAATAGTTCCAAGAAAAGTAGCTTTTTAAAAAATAGGGGCCAATTTATCACTATCATAAGCAAGACAAGATGACAGAACTTGGAACTGAAGTTTATTTAAAGATTTACATACGGCAATAGGTTGATCTGTCAGACTGGAAGATATATTCTTACCATTGGTTCCTCCAACCTAATAACAGTACGAGATAAAGTTACTCCCAAAATGGATTGAAGGGAAATCATTCTCTCAATCAGCAGTTTGTGCTCACAAATATTCACAACACGTTTTTTCTTCTGAGGAGAGCTGCTGCCCTGTAATCCAGCACAAGCAGCTCCCCGTGCGCAGAGCGGACCTGCCCCCGCAACCTGCCAGGCTGTCCGCTCCGCCAGAGCCGAGTCACAGCACAAACCTCTGCTGAAATGCACCCTCCTAGCTGAATTTTCTTTTGGGTACAGCCTCCTGAGGAAACAAAGTCAACCACCCTTTCTGTCCCAGCTTCTTCTTTTCCCGAATATTTGGAAATACTGGTAGATTTCAAAGATATTCAGGAGAAGGTATTAAATTCCTGTGTATTTTAAGGGGCAGAAAAAAAAAAAAAAAGGAAAAAGATACCAAATAATGCCTCCACTATGGCAAAGTCCCTGCTGTGAAGTTAATAGCTCTTGAACTGCCACATAGCCTATTGAGATACACACACTGGCCAAGTCACCAGCAGTACCTGTTTACCCCCTTGCCCAGAACACAGTTAAGGTGCACATGTAGGGAAACAGGACCACACAAACATGTGAGGGCTAAGTTTTAAATAGCACAGTAAAGGAAGGGGAAGGTTGAATAAAAACACTTTTAAAAAATGGCAGGCTCCATCAGCTCCACTGTTGTTTCTCTTTGCTATTTTGTTAGTTCTGTGGGGGTTTTGCCCCCATCGTAAGTAATGCTGAACCTTACATACTGCACCCAAGTCCAGAGTCTGAAGCCTGCTTCATAAGAAGTTCAAGACTTACCACCTTGTTTCCTTTCCTGCTGTAAAAAACAATCTACATAAGTAAAAGTCTGAAGTACTTCCAGTTAACAGGTACATTTGCTTGAACAGAAGATGTTTTTTTCCTCAAAAGCTATGCTTAGACTGACATGGAATCCTGCAGCCTGTCAGAAAGCCACAGTCACCTCAGCAGGCCGAACACACGCGTGTCCATTGTGTCCCTTTGCCACAGGGGAGAACAATCCCATACAATTCTGCTTTCTCATACTGTTAAGTAATCTTTCAGCATACTTTATCTACCTTGAAATACTTTTTTGAAAATATTTTTATTTTGCTAAGCAAAGCTTAAGGTCTAAGTATCCTATAACACCTAAGTATTAGAGAAAACCAGCTTTCTACTGCCTCTTTCCAGGAAGAGCAGATCATTCTGGCATTTCTACTGGAGTTGCCTGCAACTGGCAAGTTCATATATCCACCTTGGGTATCAGAACTGAAGGGAAAGCCCAACTGTAAGAGTTAGTGAGCAGTGAATTAAGGAAAATTCTGAATTAAGACAGTTTACTAAAAAAAGCACCAGAGTTCATTAAATAAGATCCTCATAATTCAGGAGAGCAGTTATGCTGTGTAGTAACTGGAACAATTTTGCATTTTACATTGCAAGGACTGAATATATACTTGACAGTTAACAGTAGTCAACACCAAAACCCCCTGCAAATTATCACCCTTCTTTCCTTAAAGCACAGCTCTACCACGTGAAACTAACTGCTCTCTAGAGAGCAGAAAACCAGCCTCTACAGGGATTAACCATAGCTGAAGTGGCACTGGGAGGAGCAGAGCAGATTACTTCAGCACTTTCCTTCTACAAGGAAGGATGCCGCGTGCAGACGGGACTTAACCAGTTGCAAGCATAGAAGACAGAAGCACATCTGTATTGATGTTATAGCACAAACTACAGTAAGTAATAAAATAGCCACAGCCTTAAGTACATTAGAAAGCTCCTAGGCAGCCTCTGTCAATACCAATAATACCTTCATTCAGTACAGCCTCTTTCACACTTAGAACATCTTCACAGAGACTAAACAGTATCAAGTGCTTAGCAGTGAAAGTGTCAGGTTGCAGGCAAACAGCAGCCTGAAAACAGAAACAAGCCCTGCTTTGGCAGGCATGCCAACCTTAAAAATCAATGGACCAGCTGACAGAACTATTCACCACGGGGGTTTTCGTTTTGTTGGAGGGGTGTTTGCTTTGTTTTTTTTTTTCCTCGCTTTAAATCAAATATTCCATCTGATTCTGAGGCTGAAACTACACAAAAGCCAACCAGTATCAGTGCACATAAACACACAAGCATCCAAGTTTTAACATTCATACAGGTGTACACACATCAAAGGCTACACTATTACAGCTACAGCATGGAGGAAAAAGGAAGGTAGCTTGCAACAAGTCATTGTTACCAAGAAATACAACTCAGGTGTGACAACACCGGCCTTACATTCAAAAAGAAAAAACCTTAATGTTAGCCAAAGCTGCACAATTCTCTCATTTCACACTCCAGCTCTTACTGTTTGCGGGTAGGAGAGCGGACGTAGCCTGTCATAGTCCTCTTGACCAGCTGTATCCCACAAACCCAGATTGACCGGTTTTCCATCAACCATTACATTAGCAGAGTAGTTGTCAAAACTAAAACAAAGAAAAGAGTTACCTGCATTAGCCTTTGCCCAAGGAAGTTTTCCTACAGAGCCCTAACTGGGAACACCATGAAAGGAAATGTTTTTTTACTGCTTCCTTCTGCGCACCAGAAACAGCAAAGCTGTTCTTTAAATACCAAGCCTGGTCTTGGGAAATACACACACATATCAGACTTGGTCCAGTCTGAACAGAAGTCACATCTCTTTCAATACCCTCCCAAAGGGCATTACATCAGGAAGTACAGAAAAGCAGGTGAGGTGCTTTGCAAGCACTCTCCAGACTTGCCAAGACATTCAGCAAGTTAAATCTGTCTCATTTTGTAAGATATGTGAGCAACAGGAATCCTTAATGACAAGGGTAGGTAAGAAAAAATACTTATTAATCCTGCTAATCAAAAACCACTCCAATGAGATATCAAATTTAATAACAAGGGACCAGTAGAGACATTTTTTTTATCTCATCACTACTGTAGGGGTAAAGGTTTTAATGACTTGTTACGGCTAAACTAAGTTCAAGAGGAACACAAGCACAGTGTAATGCAAAAATCTGAATTTATGACCAAAAAAAAAAAGAAACAGGAGCAATTAAGCAACAAGGTGTTGGAAAGGTTACTGAAGTTATCTGTCAACCTCATTAGAATGTGTTTGGTTGTTTGAAAAACTCATCAATACTTGCACAGAACAAGACAGCCAGATAAATATAGAGGTATCTGAAAAGGGCAAGGAAGCTGCTCAAGTACAAAATGCCTCCACCCAACAGGCCCTCAGAATGAGAACTGCACTAATACCGATACTGACAAATCCCTACATGCAAGGAAATGGGAAGCACCAAAAAAAAGTGTCCCCACAATCTCGCCTGAGGAGCTACAGAGCTGTGGCTGGCTTAGCACAGGACTGGCAACAGCACAAAAAGCAGAAGGAACAAATTGAAAAAAAATATTCTCTGGTCACATAAACCAACTATTTCTGACTACAATAGGATGTTTAGCAAGCTGTTCAGCCTCGGGACTGCTCATTATGAATGCTATTAAAGACAGAGACAGCACGTTATTTTCGAAGAGAGCAGCCCCTGAGAGGAGGTGAGTGACTGCCACCCCTCGCCAGGCAGGCGCAGCGGGCGGGGCGCTCGCACAGCTGCCAGCCTGCCAGGCGGGAGGAGCCCAGAGCGCTTCTCCTGGCACCCACACACGCAGTTACGTACTCCAGATGAACTGGGGGGTGCTTGCAGCCAATTCAAACCATTCAGATAAGGACTCTGGAATGGCAGTAAGGACAGAGAAGCTGACAGAAGTGAGTTGTTAGGATTTTTTTATAAGTACTTACACTGTAGGTATATATTCCCCAGGAAATGCATTGGTTGTGTAGCTGATGAGTAGGCATGTTTTACCTACAGCACTGTAAAAAGAGAAAGTTCACAGGTAAAACACATGCATCTTGAAAAATGACAAATAATATTTCTTCTAGGGAAGACGACCAATTACATCCAGTCACCTAAGGAACAACTGAGTGTCAGTAGCCACTCTTATACAGGAAAACAGATAATAGGCAGACTGTAGCCTTAAGATTACTGGTAATGGAAACACACCCAATACTAACATCCATTTTGTGAAGTGATAAATTACCAAATTTTGTTAATCTGTAAATAAACAAACAAAAAAAAGATTAAAAAGACTAACATCTGCTAGTCACATGACTGAATACTCATCAAGACCACCTTACTCCAACTCCCTGAAACTTAAAAAAATTATTTCCAGATACCCTTTACTTATCTTTTCCAGAAAATTATATACTTCCACTTGTTTGAAAAAGCCTGAAAAGTACACTTTTTTCAACAGATCATAACACTGGAGTATTTGAGGAACAAACACAAATTATAATCCTCACAATATTTACTACTATTGCAAAATGATTCCCCACATACATTCACCAACTATTCAAATAATTAATAAACTGATTATATAGATAAGTTACATTCCAATACTGGAAAACTTGGAAGACTGACCAAACGGGGGCAGGATAAGGATCTGTTCCAGACTGCTTTCAAAACTCCGGCAACCAGCTCCTTCCATCTCCACCCTCCCCCCAGCTTCTCACCTACAGTCAAACATTCTATCAACACCACCACTGAATTTTTGTTATGGTTTCAATTAAAGGGTTGGAAAACTTCAAACTGGACCATATTTATTTTTTAAAATACAAGACTCTGCAGAGAGCGTTTCTGACACTGCAGAGCAGTTCCCATGCTGGGAAGCACATAATCCTCCAACAGTGTGAGAGATTCCAGAGGAGAGCGTGAAGCTAGTTCATCAAAAGCAGTAATGCCCAGACAGACTGAGAGTCTTCCTGAGCACTCAGACAAACTCCCATGCAAGGAAAACTGCACTGTCTTGCAGATGTTTTATCACTACAAGGATTTGCTCAAAGCAAGTCAGCAGCGGCTTTGAAATCTTAACTGTGCTTGCATGTATAATCTTGCCATTAGTATTAGGATTGACTCATGAGCCTCCCGAACTACATCTTTCACAGGCTGAAGGAATTCTACTAAAGTTTTAGTCTGTAACTACAGTTAATATGAAAAGAAATAAAACAAAATAGCCACCAAAGCCACAAACAATAAACCCAACTCAAGAAGCAAATGCTATTGTTAAAAATATCCTAACCTTTAGCTTCTGAGGAAGAAAAAAGCAACTCTCAGAAACAAGCTTTAGTCGAGGGCTTACTATCCCTCCAGCTGCAAACACTGAGGCATTCATATCTGATTTTTACTACGCATCTTCTGCTTAAATCACTGCACTTCTTCCCTTTGCTTGGCAGCCTGTGTACTGTCCCTTCACCAAAACCTGTCTTCAAAACATTATTTAAAATGATTTAACACTCAACATTAACCAGCTCAGCCCTACCTAGTGACTCACAATTTAAGATAAAGTAAATTTGAGCTTTCTCACAAGTTAACCATGTATGTCATAGCTCAGCCTGTTAACCAGCCTCCCCATTACACTTCAAACAGTTCCATGCTGCATTAGCACAAGTTATTTAATAGCAGTATCTGACGAGATTACCTTAAACGCCTGAGCTATGAAAGAGTTGCTTCAGTGTGCAAAATTACCTAGGATTTTATCCTACATGCCCAGTTTTTAATTGTATGTTTCAGAGCTGATGCCCAGTGTAACACTGCATCTGCTGCAACTCTTCTCTGGTCACACTGTGCAGTTTTCCACACTACTTTTCACACCTGCTGTTAAGGAAACGAGATGCCAGCTCCTTGCACAGTTGAGATTTTTTTTTTCCTTTCAGCATACACTCTCTTTAACAAAGCTATAACAAAAAAAGGGGCATTGAATTGCATTCTTGCTAAGTACAATCTCTGCATACTTTCCTGTAGTAACAGGCTGGATATATACTTGTGCTCAAAAGTAGGAGAGGGATTAACCCTTCAAATACTTCTGTGGGAAAAAAACAGGGAGCAGTATGACAACACAGCTAGCTAACTTAACAGCTGTCAGAAGGGAAGATCCCATCTTATCTCCTGCACTAACACTAGTGCATTCTGCAACAAGCCAGAGCAAGGAGCCAAGGAAAGCTACTCATCCCACCTCCCCCATCACAACAGCAATTTTAGGTCTCCGAGCCATCGGTTTTAATGGGTTTGAACATATTGCTGAATGGCACTCACAACACTGAAAAGCAGGCTACACTGGTCCAGCTTAAAAAGGACAAACGTGAAAACCTTCAAAGTACCAAGAGGAGCAAAAGCCAGGCAGCCTCTCTGGGAAACGTCTCGAGGCGCAGCGGCTACGTGTTCTCACGCTCCTGGAACCTGTTCGGTCTGACACTTCATTTTCCCTCAGTCCATTACAGATAATTTTACCTTCTTACAAATTAATGTCGAACTCTGACATTTTCAGCAGTGGATCAAGAACTTTTCTCTGCACTCAGGCTACTTCGCTCACCTTGCACTGAAACTGCTGAGACTGCTCTGGTTAATGAAAACAGCACATGAAGGAGGTACTGATAGATTTCATTCCAAGCTCAGAAGTGTCTGTAGTGTGCTTCTGCAGCACCAATCAGCCAGGGTCATTTGAAGAAGAAAAAACACATTCAACGACCCCATTTCAGACTTGCTCCATCTAGGTTTCCTGCTTCCTTGCCTTTTGGCTCACTGCCCTACAGATCAGATCATTATGGTTACCAGTCTTAAACACTAGTGCCTACCTTTACAAAGTACATGCTCTAAATACTTTTATCAACTTTTTTAGACTTCTAACTTCGGTATTAAAGCAGCTCCCCCAAAGACAAAATATAGATCCTTGTACATAAACGCTGAAACTTAGAAGCTAAAATAACACCAACCAAGTTTAGTCATAACAAGATTTCTAGCAACTACTTAATCATAGCTCCATCCACCCACTATTACGTAAATGCAGCTAGTAACATTTGACTCATTAAAAATATGGCCTACAGAAGCCTGGCATTTTAATCACTAAACAGTAAGTGAAAGACTTAAAAAAGACCGCACTGAGTCGTATATTGCTTCCAGATACCATCCAGGAATCAATGTATTTATGTAACTAATTAACATGTATTAATTCTTGGAAACAAAACTTGTCCTATCTCTTTTGTGGCCTCATTTACAGCAGTAAGTTTTATGAAGTTCTCCCCTGGTGTTGGAGTTGCTTGGAGCCACGCTATGCGATGTAGGCCAAAAATGCCACTGGAAGGCCTGCACCAGCTTTTCATCCACTCTAAAGGCTCCAGAGCTGCACAGATGGTTCTGCCTCTTGCTCTCCTGCAGCTAAGAACTCTCTGTGGCAATGCAGCTCCCATTGTCATGGAGGCCATGCTGCTGTGGTAATGGAGGCCAGCTGAAGTACTTGCTGATTTAAGTCTGGAAACACTGATAATCTGCAAACAGGTGGCAGCCTTCATAAAAAGCTCCAATTATATCATTTCTTTCTCTCTTTGAGCCACATAAACTACTTCCCTAGCAGACATGATGCACAGCTCTTCATTCAAACATTCAAGAGTAGCTGAGGCTCCTCTAGTCCCATCCTCAGATCAGACATTCAGTGTATTTGCTATAGTAGGTTTAGCTAAACAGCTCTGCCAGATAAGCTGCTTTTACTATGACACACACCCTCTCCCAAATATGCTGTTCAGTATCTACAGCACTACTACATTTTTTTTTAACTTTTAAAATTTTAACACAAGTCACTAGATTTAAAGTCACTGCACTCTCTACAGGTGGCACTGGCGGGACCAAAGGTGTTAAGCATCAGAGACAACCACTGCACTACGCCCCGAAAGACGCCATTACCCTACAACCCCCTTCTCCACAACCTAGCAAACCAAATACAACATGGCTCTAGTGGATGAGGACTCAAATTAAGCAGAATTACAAACAGGGATACAATTCACTGCTCTTGTTCTTACAGTATTTCTACAACTTAAAATTGCCTGCAAAGGAGCATTAAAGCACGACCATTTCTGTGGCATCTAGTAACTTTTTCTCCAAAATGCAGAATTTCCCCTCATGTTACACCAGTCACTGGAGATTACAAACCACTTAACAGCTGCCTTTTTAGAGCCAAAACAAAAGCTGCTAAAAATACCACCACTGCTTTTTCTCAAGCGTCAATCAACAGCAATTCCTGCAGTTACTCAAGCCAAGTGCTCTTCATCTGTCCTGCACATTCCAACTGCTCTATATCATCCTGAAGTCAAAGCAACAGTTGCCATTTATTTTTCCTTGAACAATCCCTACAGCGAAGGGAAAAACACCCCCAAGGGCAAAACATGATAGCCCAACTAGCATATATGCCAAGGTCTTCTAGTCAAATTAGTTATCTAAACAGGTATTAGCCCAAGCTCCCAGAGCAAGCATGAGTTACACAGCAGAAACAGTCTACTCATTTACAAATTAAAAAATAATCACAAGTATTTCTACACCTTTGTTTACTTTTTTCCTAGCAGTTCTTTGAAGAAGGTACATAAAACAATACCCAAGTTCTCTATTACATAAGCAAACCTTTAGCTTGCATTGTTTTACAGAAATATTAAAGCTTTAGCCTTATCTAAGGCAAACATTACATATTTCCTAGAATACCTGTAATGCTTGAACTTCTCAAGCAGCAGAAGAGAAACACAAATAGTTAAATATTTTTTTAAAACACTGAATGGAGAATGATACAAAGCTACCAGAACTGAGCAATACTACCTGAGAGGAACCTTAAGAGAGATTCGTTTCTAACTAAAGGAGGAAGGGAAACAAATTTAACTCCTGTATTTTGTTCACACATTATGCACAAAACTCGGGTCGAATTACACCACTTCCATTTCCAGCAATAAACACCTTAGGAAGTGAGGTGGTTTACAAACCAAAGGACAAAAAGAACTGTTTTGTTGAATGAATTACTGAACATTGTCGAGTTTGTGCTGAGGTCCCAAATCTAGTGGAGGAAGTAGACTGAACTTTTTTCCCCCACCCAAACATGATGCATGGCATTTGTTTATAGTGTTGTCACAGACAGGAGAGTTCAGGTGAATTAAAAAAACTATATAACAGAAAAGCATATTTGTTGGTTTTACAATCAATATAATCAAAAGAACAGTCCATGGTTATTCTGTCTAGCAGCAGAGAATTACATTACTATGAAAGGTCTTTGTTTGTCAAGATACCACTTGCATGTTCATATTGCTCAAAATCTTACACAGAAAGTCAAAACAAATTTGTTACACAGTAAATTTATTTTTCAACATACTTAGCTGCCTTTTTAGGGATTCTACATCCTAAAAACAAAAACCAAACACACACACAACAAAATTGTGATACCAGCTATCATCAGCCTACACTGGGCTGGTTTGGTTGTGGTTCTTCCAGCTGGTCTGTGATGTTCCCCTGAGCTCTGACAACCAGCAAGAGAAAGAATGTCTCCGAGTTGATGGGAACAGCATCATGGAGGATATTCAAAAGTAGCAGACACGCAAATCCTTTCCCCGCAGTTCCAGCATTCCTCACATTGACATACAACAACTACACTTAAAGAGGTAACTCAATTCTAAATAGCATTCTCTGAAGTTGTTTCACTTATGAGTAATGCCATATTGGAATGCTGTAGATGTAACAGTTCTTTACAGACAAGTATATTGTTAATGATTTGTATTTCAAGTGCTTTATCAATCTCTTTTAGATAGGAACTTTACAAGACTAGATGTATACGTGCAGAATAACAGTCTCTACTCGCAAGCATTTATGATCTGCTCAGAGTTTAGCAAATTTCTCTTAGTTTTAATGCCAGAATCAGATGTCAAAAAAAAACAAGCTATAAACAGTAATAAGAAATTCATTTGGTACTTGCAGAACGGGTATTTCAAATCAATATTAATTCCTATTATTAAAAGCACTGTAATTTTTTTTTTCAATACACGTTATTTTGGCGTGTCTAGTGATACACGGAACACCATTATCGAGGGAGCTCCAGGGGGAGCCGGGAGGAGCGGCCCGCCCCTGCAGAGCCAAGGCGAAGCGCACACGGTCTCGCACCACGGCAGATCAGAGCCCTGTGGCGGCACCAGTACGCGTTATTCAGCCACCA